TGCTGTCTCTCCGTACGCTGTCTCTCCGTACGCTGTCTCTCCGTACGCTGTCTCTCCGTACGCTGTCTCTCTGTACGCTGTCTCTCTGTACGCTGTCTCTCCGTACGCTGTCTCTCTGTATGCTGTCTCTCTGTACACTGTCTCTCTGTACGCTGTCTCTCTGTACGCTGTCTCTCTGTACGCTGTCTCTCTGTACGTTGTCTCTCTTCGTCCACGCTGCGTAGTGCACGCGATGGTGTGCTCCCCTCCCTGTGCCGGGGACGGGGGTGGTGCAGCCGTTCACGCGCTGAGCCACGAACCCGGCTACCCGACGGTGATTCCCGCTCACGGCCAACGCCGGTGACGAATATGTGAGCTGATCCTGGGCCTCCCCCTAGGTAGGCTCGGCCTTAAATAAGTACCCGATGTGCTGTGTAAAACATTATCACTGGGGACGTGCACAAACGTCGGCACGGGAGAGACAAAGATGGCCGGGCGTGGGTGCTGGCCACCCATCCCCTCGTGTGCCTTGCCGACCTTGAAAGGTGGTCGTGAACAGCAATTTCCCCAACGGTCTATGAAGGGTTAAAGAGATGGGCTTTGTCTTTAATCTGTCAATCTGTCTGACTTTCGATATATTGGGTCTCTCTCCATCACTCTGTCTCCTGTGAGTGGATCCTTCTCAGGGTGGGGAGTGCTGGTACAGCTGGCAGCAGTGGCGAGTGATATCTGAACCGCTACCGGGTCACCTCTAGGCAGACTCAGACTTAAATGAACACCTGGGGCTGGCCAAGCCACCCGTTGTGTGACTTGCTGGATTTAATAGGCGCTCGCTCACAGCAATGGCATCAACGGCGTGTTGAGGGTAAGACAGTCTCCGTCTCGGTGTCTCCATCTGTCTACACAATTTGCGTGCGTCTTGGCAACTCTCCACTGTGTCTTTGTGTGCGTTAGTGTGTGCGTTCGTGTGCCGGCCTTCATAGGTGCTGCTCGCTAACAGCACTTGCCCCAACAGTCTGTTCAGGCTATCCGGGGGATCTTTGTGTGTCTGTATATTGTCTTTCTGCTGTCTGTCTGGCTGGCTGTGAGTCCAGATGGATTCTTGTCTGTCAGTCAGCTTGTTTTTCTCTCTGTCTTTCAGGTTGTCTCGCTCTCTGTATGGATGCCCACCCTCGTCTGCCTGTACAACTAAACCTCCGATGAGCACGGTTGTCTATGTACGGTGCGAATGGTACCACAGTGCGAAGACAAAGATCCCCCGTGTAGCCTTAACATACTTTTGGGGCAAGTGCTGTTAGTGAGCGCCTATGAAGGCCGGCACGGCACACGGGGGGGTGGGTGGCCAACACCACGTCCGGCCGCCTTTGTCTCCTCAGTGGCGATGTTTACTACACACCGCTCCAGATACTCATTTGAGGCTGAGTCGACCTAATCGTCACTGGCGGTGTTTGCCGTGAGCGGGAATCGAACCCGGGTTGCCAGGTTCGTAGCGCAGCGTAGCGCTAACCGCTGCACCACCGCTCCCCACACACGCACACACCACCCACACACCGCACCCACACACCCCACCCACACACACCAAGCACACAAACCACCCACACACCCCACCTACACACCCCACCCACACACACCACGCACACACACCACCTACACACCCCACCCACACACACCACCCACACACCCCACCTACACACCCCACCCACACACACCACGCACACACACCACCTACACACCCCACCCACACACACCACCCACACACCCCACCCACACACACCAAGCACACATACCACCCACACACCACCCACACACCACCCACACACACCCCACACACACCACCCACACACCCCACCCACACACCCCACCCACACACCCCACACACCACCCACACACCCCACCCACACTCCCCACCCACACACCCCACACACACACCAAGCACACACACCACACACCCCACCCACACACACCACCCACACACACCACCCACACACACCACCCACACACCCCACCCACACACACCACCCACACACCCCACCCACACACACCAAGCACACACACCACCCACACACCCCACCCACACACCCCCCCCACACACCAACCACACACACCACCCACACCCCACCCACACACACCACCCACACACCACACGCACACACCACACACACACACCCCACCCACACACCCCACCCACACACCCCACCCACACACACCACCCACCCACCCACACACCCCACCCACACACACCACCCACACACCACCCACACACCACCCACACACCCCACCCACACACCCAACCCACACACACCACCCACACACACCACCCACACACACCACCCACACACCCCACCCACACACCCCACCCACACACCCCACCCACACACCCACCCCTCTTAACCAAAGCGACATCAACCACGGGCGGCCCGCACGGCGATAACCCCGGGGCCTCTCACTGCCCCCTCCCCCCCGGCACACGCGGCCCAGGAGACAGCCGCGTCACCAAGTGAGCACTTGCATCGCGACGCCCACGGACGGTGCCAACTCGCGACGCTTTGGTCATTTTGATTTCGTTGGGGTGCGGGGGGCGAGCGGCGGCGTCGCTTGCCCTCAATTTAGGGGAGCGAAATTGAGCGATGCGTCCTGATGGCGATTTGAGATGGGGGGGGTGGGGGCCCCCACGACGCGCCCCCACCATCCCCTGGCCCCCCGGCACAGCGCCCAGCGCCACCGCGAGATAATCTCGACGAGACGGCGCTTTCATTCGGTGCATTCTGGGCGAGCGGGCTGCGGGCGACCCGAATCAGCGCCGCCGCCGTCGCTTCACGCAAACTGGAACTGAAAGGCGCAGAGAGAGAAAAAAAAACCTCACTGACCGGCGGTTAGAATATTTTAACCTTCACGTCTTTTTCACCGCTCAGGCATTAACGTCTCGAGACGCCGTTACCCCCACACCACCACCACCACCCCCGGGCCCCTGGCCCCACTGGCAAGCGGCTTAGTACGATCGCGCTGCAAAGCGCGCGCCAAGGAGAGATGGAGCGCGGTAATATTGCTTCGCAAGAATGTCCTTGAGAGCTCAATGGCGCGTGGAGTCGGCGTTCTTCAATGAGTCTCCACCCACTAACACCCCCCCACCTCTCCATCAACTACCCCCCCCCTCCCTCTTTTCTCTCCTCCTCCTCCTCGCAGCACCTTTGTCACGTCCGTCTCGTTCTCTCGTCACCATGCCTCCGCCCGCCCCTCGCCGCTCGCTCTGCCGTTCACTCTCGATCCTTCATCTCCTTTCATCTTCTCGCTCGGTCGCTCGGCCGCTCCCCTCGGGGACCATTCCCTCCCCATGCCTCCCACGCCCCCTCTCGCCCCCTCTCGCCCCTCTCCCGCACAGCGTCGTTATCGCCGGCACGCGGCGCTCAGGTGAATGGCCAAACGCAAACGGAATTCCGTTTCGGGAAGGAACCGAAAAACACAACAACCTCCCCCTTCCTTCGCCACCCCAGTGTCCCGTGAAGCCCAAGCTCTTGTCACGGTTCGACATTGACTCCCGACCTCTGCCGCGCGAAGCCATTTTCTGCGGCTTTCTCCTCCACCCCCCCCCCATACCCCCAACATCGAGAGCCGGAACGCGGAGCTCTACAGCACCCCCCCCCGCTCCAACTCCAACTCCTCCTCCTCCTCCCTCGCGTTCAAAACGCGACGGTGACGGCGGCGCCGCAGCGAACGGCGCCGCAGGCCGCCAGCCGCGAGGGTGAGCACGGAGCGCTCGCGCGGTCGCTGCGTGAACCGCCGATGGCGCGGAAGGCCCCGCGGTAGGTCAAGCGGCCGTTCGGCACGTCGACCGTCAAGAGGGGCGAGCGGCTTCGGCCGGGACGATCGAGAGCGTTGTGCGCATGCCGGACTTCTTTCGCGCCGTGAGTTGGCCAGCCGTGCTAATCGGAGGTCGCTCGGAGGGACGGCGGAGGGTGGTTGAGACTGGCGAGGCAATGGCTCTGAGGACCCCCACCTCGGAGATGGAGCGGTGAAATCAGCTCGTGTGCAGGAGCGCGATCGTTGCATGGCAACACGGTGACAGATGGTGTGCATCCAGAAGCAGTGGACACATCATAGCTGAAGATGACGATGATGACGACGCCGATGATGTCAGTCGGTCAAAAATGAAGTTCTAATTAGCATGAGGAAGAAGTCATCTCCGTCAGCCGCAAGCTGTGCAATTTCCACATTACCATGGCGGGAACCAGTCTGTCCATAACAGCAAATGCTGATTAACCACCCATTGGTGCGAGTTGTAGGGACCCAGCGTGATGCCCGATAAAGTCAAACTCCTGTCCAAGATTTTAACTGACATGACAATTCGTGCATAAGGGTATGATTTATCTTGTTTATTTTATACGGGAGAGGTTGGAGAGAGAAAGAAAGAGAGAGCGCGCTTCTGGTAGCCTCCATCCAGCAGTGTATTTTGCGATGATGATGATGATGATCCGTGATTGTCGATCACAGCCAGGGCACGATGAGTTTCGTACGAGACATTATTTGGTGATGCCACCGCCACTGTCGCCGTCGCTGCTGCGTTGGGCAGTGGCCCACGAGCACAAAAAAAACAGCGACCACGGGCGTCAACGGCAACGCCGTGGCCTTCAAAGGAAAACAAATATAAACATATACATACACACGCAACTTTGCTTGTTCTATGGTGATTTTCCTTTAAAAGCGGCGGCGTTAACGAGAGAGGTCAGAGCAGTGAGAGATGAGAGAGAGAGAGAGGTCAGAGAGAAGTGTGAGTGTGGTCAGAGAGAGGTCAGAGAGAGGTGTGAGAGGTCAGAGAGAGGTCAGAGAGAGGTCAGAGAGAGGTGTGAGAGGTCAGAGAGAGGTCAGAGAGAGGTGTGAGTGAGGTCAGAGAGAGGTCAGAGAGAGGTGTGAGAGGTCAGAGAGAAATGTGAGAGGTCAGAGAGAGGTCAGAGAGAGGTCAGAGAGAGGTGCGAGAGGTCAGAGAGAGGTCAGAGAGAGGGGCGGGGCGCGTGCTCGCTGCTGACCTTGGCGATGCGGGCCGCCGTGTCGCGGGCCAGGGCCAGGCCCTGCGTGAAGGCGCGTGCCGCCACGAGGGCACGCGTGAGCTGGGGCCGCAGCTTGCGCGGGACGTCGCCGAAGGGACGAAGCTCGTCCGAGTTCTTGCTCACGCACTCGAGGTACGACTCGGAGAGCTCGTAGTGCGGGTGCAGCAGCGCGAATATCCGCTCGAGCAGGCGCGACCAGAACTCGGTGAGCGACTCCTGCGGGAGGAGCCACGCCGCGTCACCGTCACCGCCACCGTCGTCGTCATCGTCATCAGTCATTAACACCATCGTAAGAATCATCATCGTACTCATCGTAAGCAACATCATTGTTTTCAGTCATTATTACCATAATTTGTATTATCATCATCATCATTGATGCTGTGGGACTTGTGGATCGCAGGGGCGATGGAGACACGGCGTGCACCACACGGCCATCCACAGGGGCAGCCGGGTGTCTTTGTCGAGGAAAGTAGGGTGCTTGTCCCATCTTGTACGGCGTTTCAGTGTCACTGCCACTGCTGCATTGTCCGCGAGCTCTCTCCCGGATGCTGGGAATTCCTCCCGCGGACGTGAACGAGCGCTCCTAGAGAACGGTCCCAAACGCCCCAAAACGTCTGGACCCGTCTTCAAAATCATCCCTGGGACTCGCTGGAGCTCTCTCCGGGCTCAACAAAGATTGCCATTGAGCCACAGCACCGCAGCAACGGCAGCAGTGGTGGCCACCACCGCGAGCTGCCACTCGCCCACGGCCCCTAAGTAAAACCGTAACAGTGCTCCCCTTTGTGAACGAGCTCAACGTAGATCGATAGATATCACTGCGAGCATTTAGGTAATACGTACAAAAAAAAGAGAGACGGTTCTTTGTCTCTTGGAGCACAGGGCCAAGTTTTCTCACTGGAGGTTTCCCTTCCCCCCGCAGGGCTTTGAGCGCAGAGATAAGATCACAATTAGGGTGCGCATGAGCGGCATTAATATTGCAACGCCACCAAGTCTCCATTGCAGTCTGATTTTGTGCCTTATTATCAGATGTTCAAAGCCAGCGCGGCGCTTATTACTATTATTAGAATGCGGAATAATTTCTTTTCAAATAACAAAAAAAATTTATATAAAAAAAATTCGTTGCCAAAAAAAACGACGATTATCCTCTCTTTTTTTTGTTCAATTTGATTCCACTTTGTATGTCCACTCAGATTCCTTATAGTTTTGCCATCGGCGGTGCGTCGTTTTGGAGAAAGAGACGTACCAGGAAGGCCCCATTCAGAACCGACGCACATCAGGGGACCACGTTTAGAAATTTGGCGCGGAGAATGCGTATGCAGCAGAACTACCCCCCGCGAGATCCTTTTTAAAGTCGCCTCTCACCCAGCCGAGGGGCGCTGCACTTTCCCATTCGTTCTGCCGCAGAGATGTCTGTCCGGGGACAGTCAAGCTGATTGTTTTCTTCGCCAAAGTTACCAACGTATGGGGGAAAAAGACAAATATAATATCGTGGTGTTATTTGTTGAATCCATCAGCTTGCTCGACACAGCGTTGATATACGGTGCTTTTTTTTTTTACCTACATGACTTTACCGAAAAAAAACAAAGAGCATGAATCCTTGCAGTCACGAAAGCTTCAAATCTAGAATTTTCTTGAAGACTTTGCTGTTTTTTCCTGGATTTTTCCGTTGCGCGTAGTCACTTTAAGATGTTTTCTTTGTTCATGTTTTTGTTTGTTGCGGTTGCACCCGATTCAAGAGCCGCATGGCTCACAGGGCGATACCAAATAAATGAACTGAACTGAACCTCCTGACCCAAAATCGAAAGGGTGCGAGTTTAAATTCGGGTTAGAGGGACAACTCTCAGTCCACCACCGACCGTGGCGTTCATAGAACCAGCACCAATTAATGAGGAAGCGAACAGAGGTTGTCCCGTGGATCATGGAGTTAATTGTTCTGCTCGCCGTGTCAGTCAAAACTTGCAGAACACGCACAGAGGCCCACGGGTTTCTTTTTTAAGCCTCCAAGGCAAAGAGGCAAGATGCGGAGATAACGCCATCACGCGATGTTCCGCTGCGCGTTGCCGAGTCAACAGAGCAGGGGCACGGTGACCAAAAAGCAGGGCCGCCACCACGAGCTTCCTTCCCTCCGCCACAACCCACCCGCCGTCACAGCCACATTCGTCTGACCCCTGTCAGACTAATGTGGAATGTACACCAGTGCTGTAGCGTGGGGGCTGGGGGGGACGGTTAACACCCACACCCCCCGCCCTGTCTTCTTATCGTCAAGTCAAAACACGTCGGCGCAGCTGTCCGTACGGCACAATAAACAAAAGAGGTGATCGCATCGTCACTGATTCCGTTCGGCGCTCAACATTTGTTTAAAGTTGGTTTAACATTGACCGTGCCCCTCCCCCCAGCCCAAATTTGAGTGCTTGGACGCCCCCCCCCCCCACGTTAAACAAGTTCACACTCCAGGGGTGCGGTGTACAGCCGCATTGAACCACTGTCGCACCCCCCACCCCCCGCTATGCAGCCTCTCTGGTCCGCGAGCACCGGTGAAGTCGCACCGCTCCACAACGACCCCACCGTCTCCACGCCGGGCAGCTCAGAGTCGAGTGTCACGGCCGAAAGAAGGAGGAGGAGGAGAGGGAGGAGGAGAGGGAGGAGGAGGAGGAGAGGGAGGAGGAGAGGGAGGAGGAGAGGGAGGAGGAGGAGAGGGAGGAGGAGGAGAGGGAGGAGGAGAGGGAGGAGGAGGAGGAGAGGGAGGAGGAGGAGAGGGAGGAGGAGGAGAGGGAGGAGGAGAGGGAGGAGGAGAGGGAGGAGGAGAGGGAGGAGGAGGAGAGGGAGGAGGAGGAGAAGGAGGAGGAGAGGGAGGAGAGGGAGGAGGAGGAGAGGGAGGAGGAGGAGGAGAGGGAGGAGGAGGAGGAGAGGGAGGAGGAGAGGGAGGAGGAGGAGGAGAGGGAGGAGGAGGAGAGGGAGGAGGAGAGGGAGGAGGAGAGGGAGGAGGAGAGGGAGGAGGAGAGGGAAGAGGAGGAGAGGGAGGAGGAGGAGGAGGAGAAGGAGGAGGAGAGGGAGGAGGAGGAGAGGGAGGAGGAGGAGAGGGAGGAGGAGGAGGAGAGGGAGGAGGAGGAGGAGAGGGAGGAGGAGGAGGAGAGGGAGGAGGAGAGGGAGGAGGAGGAGAGGGAGGAGGAGGAGAGGGAGGAGGAGAGGGAGGAGGAGGAGAGGGAGGAAGAGAGGGGGGAGGAGGAGGAGAGGGAGGAGGAGGAGGAGAGGGGGAGGAGGAGGAGGAGAGGGAGGAGGAGGAGAGGGAGGAGGAGGACTCTTGACGTCCCGGGTAGACTTCCAGATTCCCTAACGGCGGCGGCGGCTGCCTCCTCCGCAACGAGAGGACGATCCTGGGGTAACCGTGACGGGTGGCAACCCACGGCGCCGGGCGACGTTCAGTGCCTCACTGCGGGCGGCCGAGAGGCGCACTGATCGGGCATTGGGGGGTAAATGTCTTGACCTGGCACCAACGCTGCGTTTCTAAGTTTAGTACGCTTGGTCGGCTGTCAATGCGGGGACCTTGATAATCAAACGGGCAACTCAACCCTGTGACTGGACAACACGTCTCGTGTCTGGTAACTATAAACAGCACCACCAGGGGCGGGGGAGGGGGTGACCACCACCACCCTCGCCACCTTGGGCTCGCCACCAGGTACGGTGAGTGCCTTGTTAATGCGGGGGGGGGGGGGGGGGGGTGGTGTAGCGGTGAGCGCTGCGCTACGAACCCACTGACCTGAGTTCGATTCACGCTCACGTCCAACACCGTTGACGATTATCTGAACCGGTCCTGGGCCTCCCCTAGGTCGACTCGGCCTCAAATGAGTACCTGGTGCGGTGTGTAAAAACATTACCACTGGGGAGACAAAGGCGGCCGGGCGTGTTGCTGGCCACCCACCCCCTCGTGTGCCGTGCCGGCTTCCATCGGTGCTACTCGCTAACAGCACTTGCCCCAAAAGTCTGTTAAGACTGTCCGGGGGATCTTTGTCTTTGGGGCGGGTGGGGGGGGGGGGCGCTGGCGAGCGGGGGTCCACACCTGCAGGTTGGCGCCGGCGCCCTCGTAGTAGCGCCGCAGGTCCTTGAAGAGGTCGGAGAAGAGGTGCAGGTGCTTGACGTAGAGGACGCCGTACGTGCGGGAGAACATGGAGTGTAGCGAGCGCTCGGAGTTCTCCAGCAGCTCCTTGAAAAACTCTGCACACGCCCACAAAGACAAAGGTCCCCCGTGTAGCCTTAACAGACTGCAGGGGCAAGCGCTGTTAGCGAGCAGCAGCGCCTGTGAAGGCCGGCACGGCACGCGATGGGGGTGGGTGGCCAGCACCGCGCCCGGCCGCCTTTGTCTCCCCGGTGGCGATGTTTTTACACACCGCACCGGGTACTCACGTGATTCCGAGTCGACCTAGGGGAGGCCCAGGACCGGTTCAGGTAATCGTCACCTGCGTTGGCCGCGGGCGGGAATCGAACTCCGGCCGCCGGGTTCGTAGCGCGGCGTGGCGCTAACCGCTGCGCCACCGCTCCCCACGCGGGCGCCACCGTCGCCCCCTGCACAGCTGCGTTAACATCGCGAGCAGCCGCAAGGAGTTCGCGAGAAGTCACAAACAAACAAACAGTCACAAACAAACAGTCACAAACAAACAGTCACAAACAAACAAACAGTCACAAACAAACAAACAGTCACAAACAAACAGTCAGTCACAAACAGTCACAAACAAACAGTCACAAACAAACAGTCAGTCACAAACAGTCAGTCACAAACAGTCACAAACAAACAGTCACAAACAAACAGTCACAAACAAACAGTCACAAACAAACAGTCACAAACAAACAGTCACAAACAAACAGTCACAAACAAACAGTCACAAACAAACAGTCACAAACAAACAGTCACAAACAAACAGTCACAAACAAACAGTCACAAACAAACAGTCACAAACAAACAGTCACAAACAAACAGTCACAAACAAACAGTCACAAACAAACAGTCACAAACAAACAGTCACAAACAAACAGTCACAAACAAAGAGTCACAAACAAACAGTCACAAGCAAACAGTCAAAAACAAACAGTCACAAACAAACAGTCACAAACAAACAGTCACAAACAAACAGTCACAAACAAACAGTCACAAACAAACAGTCACAAACAAACAGTCACAAACAGTCACAAACAAACAGTCACAAACAAACAGTCACAAACAAACAGTCACAAACAAACAGTCACAAACAAACAGTCACAAACAAACAGTCACAAACAAACAAACAGTCACAAACAAACAGTCAGTCACAAACAGTCACAAACAAACAGTCACAAACAAACAGTCAGTCACAAACAGTCACAAACAAACAGTCACAAACAAACAGTCACAAACAAACAGTCACAAACAAACAGTCACAAACAAAACAGTCACAAACAAACAGTCACAAACAAACAGTCACAACAACAGTCACAAACAAACAGTCACAAACAAACAGTCACAAACAAACAGTCACAAACAAACAGTCACAAACAAACAGTCACAAACAAACAGTCACAAACAAACAGTCACAAACAAACAGTCACAAACAAACAGTCACAAACAAACAGTCACAAACAAACAGTCACAAACAAACAGTCACAAAACAGTCACAAACAAACAGTCACAAACAAACAGTCACAAACAAACAGTCACAAACAAACAGTCACAAACAAACAGTCACAAACAGTCACAAACAAACAGTCACAAACAAACAGTCACAAACAAACAGTCACAAACAAACAGTCACAAACAAACAGTCACAAACAAACAAACAGTCACAAACAAACAGTCAGTCACAAACAGTCACAAACAAACAGTCACAAACAAACAGTCAGTCACAAACAGTCACAAACAAACAGTCACAAACAAACAGTCACAAACAAACAGTCACAAACAAACAGTCACAAACAAACAGTCACAAACAAACAGTCACAAACAAACAGTCACAAACAAACAGTCACAAACAAACAGTCACAAACAAACAGTCACAAACAAACAGTCACAAACAAACAGTCACAAACAAACAGTCACAAACAAACAGTCACAACAAACAGTCACAAACAAACAGTCACAAACAAACAGTCACAAACAAACAGTCACAACAAACAGTCACAAACAAACAGTCACAAACAAACAGTCACAAGCAAACAGTCAAAAACAAACAGTCACAAACAAACAGTCACAAACAAACAGTCACAAACAAACAGTCACAAACAAACAGTCACAAACAAACAGTCACAAACAAACAGTCACAAACAGTCACAAACAAACAGTCACAAACAAACAGTCACAAACAAACAGTCACAAACAAACAGTCACAAACAAACAGTCACAAACAAACAGTCACAAACAAACAGTCACAAACAAACAGTCACAAACAAACAGTCACAAACAAACAGTCACAAACAAACAGTCACAAACAAACAGTCACAAACAAACAGTCACAAACAAACAGTCACAAACAAACAGTCACAAACAAACAGTCACAAACAAACAGTCACAAACAAACAGTCACAAACAAACAGTCACAAACAAACAGTCACAAACAAACAGTCACAAACAAACAGTCACAAACAAACAGTCACAAACAAACAGTCACAAACAAACAGTCACAAACAAACAGTCACAAACAAACAGTCACAAACAAACAGTCACAAACAAACAGTCACAAACAAACAGTCACAAACAAACAGTCACAAACAAACAGTCACAAACAAACAGTCACAAACAAACAGTCACAAACAAACACGTCCCTGTGAAGGAGCAGATGACACGGAAGGATCCGCTGGCTTTGATCTTCCGCCCTGGAGCTTACGGCCCCCCCCCGCCAACTCGTGAACCCGCGATCCGCACACAAACCATGGCAGCGGCAGCGGCAGCAGATGCGGATATTTGACGCACAAATGGAAGAAAAAAAACTTCCCGGCAGGGTTTGACTGCAGTCACCCAGAACAGAGCCATGGCACAGATGAAGGCTCAAGGGCCGATTCACAAAACACGAAGGAGGAGGAGGTGGAGGAGGAGGAGGTGGTGGTGGTGTCATCACGGCAGCGATGATTTACCGCTGCCCGCTGCTGCTGACGCAATCGTCTGGCTCAACCCATCTGAGCGTAAAATCACAGTCGCTGCTTTACAGCAGCGTCGGCCGTGCGAAGAAGAAGACGAAGAAGACGAAGTGAGAAGAAGACGAAGTGAGAAGAAGAATAAGAAGACGAAGAAGACGAAGTGAGAAGAAGACGAAGTGAGAAGAAGACAAAGTGAGAAGAAGAAGACGAAGAAGACGAAGTGAGAAGAAGACGAAGTGAGAAGAAGAAGACGAAGTGAGAAGAAGACGAAGTGAGAAGAAGAAGACGAAGAACATCGCCACGTCCGGTGGGGCGGTGGAGGCGACGCTGCGGTTCGTACGGCGGACCGGTGACCAGCGTGGCCTGAGGGCTGCTGCCGCCCCCCCCCCCCCCCTCATGTCTCTTCGTTGGCACTTTCGTCTGCGTCGCCGCGTTTCTAGAGGGGCGGTCCTCGATAGCGACAGAGCTTGAGGTGAGAATTGCATTTCGTATTGGATTGTCGTGACCCCCCATTACAGACGGAAGGAATAAATTTAAAAATGAGAAGCAACGTGACCAAGTAATTGGAGCAATGATGTCATGAGTCATCCTAAGGAGGAGCCTCACCGAGTGTCAACACTGCATCGGCGTGCTGGGCAAACAAGTGTGTTGCATGGAGTGTGTTGCATGTGGGAGTAAACCAGAGTTACAGCGGAAACCCCACAGATCCAAGGGGACAACACTCAGAGCCTCACACGCGCGAGTTCGCACCCCACTTGCTATTCTTTGCGTCTCTCGGTAGAGTCACGTAGACACCTCACAGTTCAGTCGCTTTGGGAGGTCCACTCATTTTGGGCCCAATGCACCAAACCTTGCCTCCATACAGTGTTGGATCACAGGCGTGAATCGCCACTGCCACCGCCACCACCACGACCACCACGGCCACCACGACCACCACGACCACCACGGCCACCACGGCCACCACGACCACCACCGCCACCGCCACCACCACCGCCACCACGACCACCACGACCACCACGGCCACCACGGCCACCACGACCACCACCGCCACCGCCACCACCACCGCCACCACGACCACCACGGCCACCACGACCACCACGACCACCACGGCCACCACGACCACCACCGCCACCGCCACCACCACCGCCACCACCACCGCCACCACGACCACCACGGCCACCACGGCCACCACGACCACCACGACCACCACAACCACCACGACCACCACGGCCACCACCGCCACCACGACCACCACGGCCACCACGACCACCACGACCACCACTGCCACCACGACCACCACGACCACCACGGCCACCACGGCCACCACCGCCACCACGACCACCACGACCACCACAACCACCACGACCACCACGACCACCACGACCACCACGACCACCACGACCACCACAACCACCACGACCACCACTGCCACCACGGCCACCACGGCCACCACGGCCACCACGACCGCCACCACGACCACCACAGCCACCATTGGCACGGCCACCACCACGGCCACCACCGCCACCACGGCCACCACGACCACCACCGCCACCACCACCGCCACCACGACCACCACCGCCACCACCGCCACCACGGCCACCACCGCCACCGCCACCACCACGGCCACCACCGCCACCACCGCCACCACGACCACCACCGCCACCACCACCGCCACCACGACCACCACCGCCACCACCGCCACCACGGCCACCACCGCCACCACGGCCACCACGAGCGGCATTATTCATAGCACAGGGAACAGTTTTCTGTTGACACTGAGGGCATGGGGAACTTCATAAATAGGAGGGAGATGTACTATTTGCGAGTAATACTTTAGGAGGGAGATGCACTATTTGTGAGTAATACTTTAGGAGGGAGATGCACTATTTGTGAGTAATACTTGAGGGAGATGTATTATTTGTGAGTAATACTTTAGGAGGGAGATGTACTATTTGTGAGTAATACTTTAGGGGGGAGATGTACTATTTGCGAGTAATACTTTAGGAGGGAGATGTATTATTTGTGAGTAATACTTTAGGAGGGAGATGCACTATTTGTGAGTAATACTTTAGGAGGGAGATGCACTATTTGTGAGTAATACTTTAGGAGGGAGA